TTCGTGCGAGAACAGCTCGTCGGACATCGCGGAACTGCTGTTGCGAGACTATTCAGAAATCGGCATCACAGATGTGAACGGCAACCAGGAAATACATACGGTAATTAGAACACGTGACTACCCGTTTAGGGGGCCAGCGATTTGCTAATGCGTGGTATACGTTTACCTATTTGCAGGCTTGTCGAAACGGCTTGGCGGCTCATCTGGAACACTTGCTGTTCTACAGGGCAGATCCAAACTGCCGCAACTTCAATGGCAACACCCCTCTGCACGTGTGCGCTTCCAGAAATCAGGTATATGGCTGTTGGAAAAGTTTGTACGTTCAAGAACTTGTCTCTGTCAAAGCCATGTCGATATGAGAACAGATTTTGTTCAACTCCAGGTTTCGACTGCACTTGTCATAAAACCTCTTCAACCGAAGAAGAATCGATTCGCCGTTATTGTCGTTACCTTAGTACTGAAATATTTATGCCAGATTCGGACCGATCAAACGAACTTTTGCCCTTGTTTGAAGCTTTTATAACCCTGTTAAGAGATATCGACAGTAAAACAGGGCGCGGCAGCTCTCTGCTAAGATCAAAGTCGAATGCTCATGAGTGACAGTGAATTTTACAATTACAACACATTAAATATGCTCTACGGCGTACAACAGAAGAGACCCTTCCCACCACAGTGGTAGCCTATGCGCTTGATGTATTTGAAGATTCTCTTAACACGGAATGCTCTGCTACAGTTTAGTTTAGAGACTCACTGGGGTTAAATCAGTTATCCATACCAGAGGGGCCGAAATAAGAATGTAGCAAACAACACAAAATATCCTTTTTTCCGATGAAGCTGCGGCTGATTGAGAAACCGTGACGCACCTCATACTGATAACACATGATATCGATCCATGGTTTAGGTGAAGTAAACGCACAACAGATGAGCTTTTACTGCTATAAACGTATTCTTTGTCACTGCAACCTACATGATTAGAACGTATTATAGTTTTTGTTCCGATATGATGCGTAATATAGGTCATTAGTATAC